TATATATATATATATATTATTTTAGTAATTTTATCCAATGAAATTTTATTACGTTTTCAGTAGGGATGGCAACGGAGTGAGTTGGGTACGGGTTTTATGATAACTGTCCCCCGTCTCCCGTCCCCGTGACTCAAACTCATCCTCGTACCCGTACCCGTACCCGTCGAGTATATAATTTTCATCTCCATCCTCATTCTCGTTGGGTATCGAGTATATCTGTACCTGATGTGAATCAAGAAGAAGCAATAATGGACTAGGAAGTAATAAAATATTATAGGAAGATTAGGGCTCATATTTTATGGTCGAAATATATATGTTATCGGTATGAATGAAAACTTACCATGATAAATCAAGTATGTGTGGGATTATAGAACCGAATAAAAACATAGATGAACACTTTCTTTAAAAATAATAAAGAGTAACTTTTCTATTGATGTAATTCTAAATATACGTGCAAATGTGTTCTAAGTAAAGATACTGATGATAGTACCCATGTTGTATCGGTGCCAAATTCATATCCACCTTAAATATCGATTAATCGAAATGCAACCTTGATCTTTGTGTGTTATTGAGGAGAAATTTGGGGAATTTTGTATCTGAACATGGTAGTATATTTTGTGTTGGTTTACACTGAGTTTTCCTTGTCTTTTTACAAAATTGAAGGGATTGACCGTATGGGTGAAAGATGTGAAAAAAGAAAGGCACGTTTGTAGTGCATTAGGACCTTTTAATCTTGGTTTTCATCCCCTAGACATCAAGCAAAATTGTATAAACTGCAAAGGGTCTGACTTTGAAAAAAAATTGAAACATTAATTATACTTTTTATTTTTTTTAATTTTATGTATTGTTTATATCATACATTAAGAAACCTAATATATCTTGAAATTAAAATAGTTATAAGACTATATTGACACTAGGGAAAAATTAGTATATTACGTCACCTCTTTAACGTTGGAAATACGAAAATCCGACGTAAAAAAGACGTGATGGCATTTTTGTAATTTTCGCGAATTTTTTTACGTCGGACCTAGTATGGTCTGACGTAAAATGTCAAATCTACGTCGGATGTATGTTGTCAGACCCTACCAGGTCTGACGTAAAAAAAGGACGCGAAATTGAATAAGAGAGTGCGAGACACACCGCGCACATTCACTCTTCATCACTTTTCATTTTTTTCTCTGTAAACCCTCTCCCTCTCCTTTGTTACTGAATCGTTTTTTTGTCTTTTGCAGAAGGGTGAACTCTTTGTTACTCATTCGCACACTAGTGCAGCTCATCAGGTATGAATCAAGGTTTCGTTAACACTTTTTTGCTTCGCATTGCTATTGTGGCTATCTGTTCTATTTGATTTTTTGGTTGTTCTATTTGTATAGGTCGTTGGCCTTTTCTTTTGGGTTGTTCTACGAAGCAGAACGGTCCGTTCTTCAAGCAGAACGACCGTTCTCTAAGCAGAACGACCGTTCTCTAAGCAGAACGACCCGTTCTCCAAGCAGCACGGCCTGTTCTCCAAGCAGAACGACCTGTGCTCCTTGCAGAACGGGCCGTTCTGCTAGGAGAACGGGTCGTTATGCTTGGAGAACGGGTCGTTTTGCTTGCATTCTTATATTTTTTTTTTACTTTTTTACGTCGGACCTTGATAATGTCCGACGTAAATTTACGTCGGTTTTACAGGGCCGCCGTAAATTTATGTATGTTGTCAGACCCTACCAGGTCTGACGTAAAAAAAGGACGCGAAATTGAATAAGAGAGTGCGAGACACACCGCGCACATTCACTCTTCATCACTTTTCATTTTTTTCTCTGTAAACCCTCTCCCTCTCCTTTGTTACTGAATCGTTTTTTTGTCTTTTGCAGAAGGGTGAACTCTTTGTTACTCATTCGCACACTAGTGCAGCTCATCAGGTATGAATCAAGGTTTCGTTAACACTTTTTTGCTTCGCATTGCTATTCCTGTAAATTTTTTTTTATGTAAAAAAAATACAGAATATTTTTAATTATTTTTCCATTATATTATAATTATAATTAGATTGTTTCTCTTTCTCATATTTTAATCAAGAGATTTCTTAATAATTACACAACTATTAGATTGTTTCACATTATAATAAATAATTAAACATAATAAAATATTAAAATTTTTTAATATAATTAAAATTGGTACGGGTACGGGGCAGTTATGTATATACCCGTACCTGGTTTAATATATCAGGTTTTACTTGTATCCGGTCAAATCGGGTATTCCCCGTCAAAGTCGAGACGGGTTCGAGTATTACCTACGAATACGGGGATTATTTGTCATCCCTAGTTTTCGGTTAAAAAAATAATAAATAATATTGTAATTAATATTAATTTATAAACCACAACAAATCAATATTAATATTTAATTAATATTTATATTAATGATTACTAATAATTAAGAGATATAATTTGATTAAATTTTTAATTATAAAAAGAATTAATTATATGATAATTTTTTTGTCAAAATTTATTAATTAATTATTATTAATTATAAGAAAAAACAATTTTATTAGTAAAAATTATAATATTGTTACAATTAATATAGAGTAGTTGAAAATTTAAAATTATATTAATTATAAAAAAAAATAACAATTTTGTCATATACCCGAACACCGTACACATACGCGGTTAATAATAATAATAATAACAAATAAAAATAAAAAAACACCAAAAAAGAAAACGCAAAACGGAAAAACGTGACAAGCATTGATGCCACTCGTTCTTGGACCATCACACTATCTCAGCATAGCAGAAACACGGGGGGAGACCCAGAGCCTCTAAGGGAAGATCTTTAGCAGACTAATAGAGAGCAAAATTAAAGTTTTCATGAATAAGGGAAGGAAATTGTGAGGGACTGAGTATCTGTTGCAATTCTCTTGTGCAATTGTTGTATGAAGAGTTTGAATTGCTTAATAGTGTTTGAACTTGAAATTTTACCAATTCAAGAAATTTTAAATTATTAATATTTAAATTATTTTGATTTTAATTTTTATTATTTTTAAAATATTTTATTTAAATAAGTTAATTTAAATTTTTCAAATTTTAAATTGTTAGATTGGATATGATAATTTGATTCTACTATAAAAATTGATAATATATATATATATATATATATACTAAGATTTTAAGACTAAATTTTATAAAAGTAAATATTAGTTAATTTTTAAATATTTAATAATTTTAAAAATTAATATTAGACAATATTTAATAAATTAAAAAATATTTTTGAATATTTAATAATTAAGTACATGAAAAAATAAGAGATAAAATAAAATATATAAGTGAAATAAGAAGAAAAAAAATGAAGAATTTCAAATTCTTATTTTTTTGAGAAAATTTGAAATTATACTATTTCAAGAAAGTGTACATATACTTAAATTTTAAATTCCTTATAAATTCTTCGTCAAAACAAATATTTTACCTCAAAAAATTTAAAATTCTTCAAATAAATAAATTATTTTATTTAAATTTTCCATCCAAACACGTTATATTCTATTGTGTGTTTATTTGATGTTTCTTCTGTGAGTTTCTTTCTATACTGTTATTTTCATCTGAGTTGGATTAGCATTGGTATATAAAGTGTTGGTTTCACTCGTTGTTTCTCTTTCTCTTGGTCCCACGTGCTACGTGTTTGTAAAAATGCTTGAACCACTCAACTGTCATATCTTGCGCTTATTTCAATCTGCTGATTCACGCTCAGTTTCTAGTAAAATACTGGGTATATGTTTAGATAAACTTCTGCCGAAGCAATTTAAGCAGAAAGAAATATGAAGCAAAATTGAAATAAAATTCGGTAGAAATACAATTTTGGAGAAGTTAATAGGATAATACGTTTGCAAATTAATTCATATATGAACTAATTTTAATTTATAAAGAAACTTGTTTATTTTTTGCGTTCCATTTTTTCTCTCCTAGGAGGGCTTCTAGAAAAGTTTACTCAAGCAAATCCTAATACACCTTTTAACACTGGCACACTATCTTTTATTGGATTAGATTCACATATGTTCCACTAAATATGTGAGTTCCATTTCCCATCTCATTTGGCTGGTCTCAATTTCAAAATAATGTGATGCACACAAATGTTAAATTTTAACCAGTAGGAGAAAGTATGTTCAAATCAATTCTAAAAAATGTAAGAATGTGTTGTTAGCACTCTCCCCAATTTCTGTAGTTAAAACTCGCTCTTCATTTCACCAAGCTATTGAGGATGATTCTCTACTGATAGTGCTTGCACACGGTTTTGTTTTGGCATGCAGGCTGGTTTGAGAATCCATTTCTTTTCTTTGGTTTGCAAGCAAGCATGATGCTCTTTTTATGTGAGTGGCTTTGGTAACCAATACTATGTGCAATCAGAGTTTATAGTTCCTTTATGATATGTAATAGGGCTATCATGTGTAGGGGGTTCTACCATCATTTTGTCATCTGATTTCATGGTGCTCCTTACTAAGTTTTTTTCGTTTTTTATTTGGCTATATAGTGTGTGTCCAGACTGAAGAAATTGAGAGTCTTAGCTTGTGTGGGTCTGCGTGAGAGTTGGTGGACAAAAATTCATTAGTGCTCGAGGTTCTGTAGCCACCATAATTTTTAGCGTGATTGCTTATGCTTAAGTATAGAATTTGAGCTAACAATCATCTGTTATAAAAGTTGAATCAGTGTGTAAACATTACTACTAGGAATTTAAAATATATAAGGGTTCATTGATTAATGTTATACTAACACCAATGGAAAACTCTACAAATAACAAAAAATGATTACAAAGTTTCATTTATCCTAACACATAAATTACACGAAAATTTTTGGCAATGATAGATTGCAATAAAAAAAATAGAAATTAATGATGTTTATGAATCTACTCATCAATCTTTCTATAATGGAAAGCTTTCATTACCGGTAGATTTCACATCTTCTATTTTCAACATTTCTAGTAGAAAATCACTCCATGTGTCTATGGGTCCTGGCAAGCACCAATGCACACAATCATTAGGTAATGTCAAGTTTTTATTTGGTGGGTGTCCATATTTATCAGGGTGACCATCTGGTCTCAATAACATTGCCTGTGTGGTGTCAAGTAACATGAATTTCAAACCTCTCCTTTTGGCTTCTTTCTCTGCAGTTTTGAACTCCCCCACTTGCATCTTATATAACTCCAAATTGTAGCCATCTAAGCTTGTTTCATTTCTCTTAAACGGCTTTGTTCTCACACAATTCCCACCTTTATCCCACACCCCATTCTCAAAATGAGATGGTGCATATGTTCTAAGAAGTGTGACACCCATGAAGTTTCGTGCACTAATGAGGGCTTTATATGCAGTTCGAAAAGCCCTTTTATAGCCATAGTGCCAGCTTAAGTAAGTGACATTTTCAAAGGAACAGTATTGGCATCCAACAATTTTTTGTTTCTCATAGAATACAATTGGCCTCAAGAACCACTGTCCTGCATTGATGATCACATAGTCAAACTCTTCAATTTGAGTGGTCCATCTTTCATCAAACTCATCAAGATAAAGGTTGAAGAGACCACCATTTGAATCCACTTCTTTAGTTTTAACTAGATAGGGTGACCAAAAAGTAGCCATTGTGAAGTTGTAGCTCGGGTATGTCCATCGCTTGAAGGCATACTCATCTGTGTATGATACATCTGCGGGAAACTCCACCTGAAAAATAAAGAAGATTAAAATGTAGAATATATATTTTTATTCCTTAAAGTCATCTGTGTATGATATTTAACAATTTAGACAGTCAATACAAAAGGGAAAATATGTATGCAAGAAACAAACAAATGTGTGAGTTCAAAATTACATTAACTTTTAATTTTTTAAAGCAACAAATTCTCCCTTCGTTCTTGTATGCATTGAAATTCATAAAAGTACTTTTCCAATTTTAATTCAAATATAAAATAAAATGTTCATCTATAACAAGAAGTTCCAAATCATTTTATTTATTTTTTAACTCTTAAAATAACTATCTTGAAAGTTATAATAGTAGATATTTTTTAATTGTATGATAAAATAAAATTTTGTACACTAATAGTGTATGATTATTAATTTTTTTAAAAAAATAAGATAAACTCAAACCTTACTGAACTCCACCATCCTAAATATATGCATTCAACCCTCCTAACTATATGCTTAAACTCAATCATAATATCTGTATATTTGGAGTCTTGCTATTTTTATACAGCCTATACATTATGTAGCGATCTACTTGAAACTTTCATATTTATTTAGAGATAAAGATAAAAATTGGTAAATTGAAAAAAATAAAATAGAAAGATATACACATAAAGATAAAAGGGGGATAGTTTGAAATGGTTGTACAAGACATGTCTGGTTTGTTGTGAGAGTAATGCATATCTAAAAAAAAAAGTAGAGAAAATTTGAAAATGTCTACCTTGAGGGAGTATTTGTTACACAATAAATTTTTTGATGCCAGAATGTGATTTCCGAGAAAAATGTGTTTAGATAATCATAAATATTTTTGAAAATACTTATACATATGATACTTTAAAATTATATATTTTTACTGCATTAAATTAACAAAGAAAAATAATGTGATATTTTGATAGTAGAAAATCTATTTTTTTTTAATTCGGAAAGTTAGATTTTCGCTTCTTATATGAAAACTTATGTTTGGAAAACTTAGAAGCGTTGGTTGTTTTAAGTTATGGACTTTTATATCTATGAACAATGTTCTGGAAAATATAATTTTGTAAATGACATTCTTGAATATATTTAAAAAAGAATATGTTTGAACAATGTTGGGAATGCTTTTATGAAAATGAGATTTGAAAGAAGTTAAAAAATTAATTTTCAGGTCATCAAAATCAATTTACCTGTCCCATTTCTTGAAAATAAAATGGCACAAGAATATGAAAGTTTTGGTCTTTTCGTGTAAATGTTCTATCTCTGGGAATAAAATTTATAATCCTATAACAAAAATAGAAAAATACATTTCCTAACCATATATTTATAAGAATATAGTAAAATAACTTAAAACAAGCACAATATATGTAAAAATAAAAAAATAAAAAAAATATCTTAGAAACAATGTTTCATCAAAATGTTAATTTTTAAATAATAAATACAAACGGAAGAAACATTATATCTCCATATTCTTAAGAAACTAAATATTTTCATTTACCAAACATTATATCTTCATATTCTTAATTTATAATATACCAATGAATTTCATATCACCATCTAAAATTCTGATCATCGTATTAAAAAATTTTGATTCTCTCCAATTTTTAAAAACTTATTACTCGCTTTCAATATTATGAAAACTATAATTTAGTAATAGTATAAACAATTGTATTTGATGAAACTAAATTTCTTGCATATATCTCAACTTGTTTTTGTTTTAAATAGTATTCAATATATTAAAAAATAACTTGGAATTCATTAAAATATTTTAACATGTGCAGACTCTTCTCGTGCTTTCTCGCCTCAAGTTTAGTTAGATATTGAACAACATCACTCTCCACTCTTTACCTGTATCATACTTATTCAGTTTATGATTAATGTCATTAAAAATTAAACAAATTATTCACGAATATTTTATTCATTTTTGGCCTATGGCTAATCATAATTGCGAACGCAAGCCCCTAAAAATATTAGTGTCAATTTTGTTTTTTGTTTTCTTTTAATATGGGACCCATTTTTATAGTTTTTTTTTTTTATAAAAAAATCTCTTATAGTTTTTTTTAAATTATAACTTTTTTTAAAAAAATATATGTACGTTTCTTTCAGCTTTTTGAAAAGACGAAAAAAAATATTCTAAGATTTGATTAAAATAAGAAGTTATTTGGAATAATTTCCCATAAAACCAGCTGTTTTTCTTTTAATATAACTTACTTTTTAGTAAATCAAAGATTTTCCTGACTGAAAACTAAAAACCAATCTCTCAAAACTGACTACAAACAAAACCAGTGACTCATGCTTAATTAAAGAATAAGGTTATTTAGTATATAATTATAAACAATAACATAAATTAACTTATACTTTTTTTAGAATATATAAGAAAATCATCGTAATAACATTCATAAATTAGCTTCCTATGTAATCAGATTTAGTGGACAAAGCAGCTACAGTTGATATCAGAAATTAAGAACAAAATAAACACAATAATCAAGACAAAATAATTAAGATAATAATTGTTAAGCTAGGGATTTAGAATCTCAATTTGATCAAAGTAGAAGAGAGACTTACCCTTGACAGTAGGCAAATCATTGACTGCATGTGATTTCTGCCTATGGAGTCTCCAACAAAAGCCATTGATTTTCCCCTCATGATTTCTAGAAACTGAAAAGGGTTGAAAATAGGAAGTTCACATTCATTAGGCTTCCACCTCCACTTCATGAACTCAGAGTCAGGTCTCCCATATTTCATGCAATTTTGGTGCTCATGAATTTCCCAACATGTTGTGTTTGTGTAATATGGTGCCTCTGGATTTGGCACCCATTCACCACTGAAAATGTCACACTTCTTGTTCTTCTTCACATTTGTTGGGGACATGATTATTTCTGGCTCCTTCAAATCATGATCAATTTCAAAAGATGGCTGCTTATATTCATTGTTCTTCAACAATGAATAGTAACTACACAAAGAACATGATAGTGTGGTGAGAATAAATATAAGTAGGGTTAAGAATACATGTATAGTCACTTTTGACAAAGCTTGTTTTGAACTATTGTTCCCACGGAAAAGTGAAAAATGTAGGAACTTCATTTTGGAAGTGATAGAAGAGAAAAATAAAAGAGAAGATGAGAGAAAGATATAAAGGAGAATGAAAATTGAGGTTTTCTAAAAAGAATGTGACAGTGTGGTGACAGCGAACCATTATTGTTGCTCAAATTAATTTTAGAGTGATAATAACTAAACTTTAATATTTATTGCGTCATAATATTTTTTTTTATCATTCTTAACCTTCACGTGTTCTTGTGCTAATGAATTCTTAAATTGTTTTTTTAAAGATAAAAATAATTATAAAAATAGTCGCAATGAGAGTTGAACTCAGATTTTTATATTTATAATTATTTAAACTTCTCCCAAATTAACTATTAAACTAATCTTAATAATTTAATTTTTAATTCTTAAATTGTTTTGATCAACATAATTAAATTCTTTGACTTTTTTTAATAATCATGAAACTCTCTGGCTATTTTGACAACTTGCATAACGAAGTTTAAAATGTTTCAAAAAAATGTTTAAAAGCTCATTTAAACTTTTTTGTCTAGAAGTAGAAGATAAAATCAGGAGTCCTTATACGTATAGGAAAGTGTGAAAACTTAATCCTTCAACACTCTTAATACGTATGCTAAAGTGTGCCAAATCTGAAAACATTAAAGGAAGAATCTTATTTTTCCTTTTAATTAAATGAAAGGGGAATTATTCTTTAATATTCTTAAAAAGCCTGTAAACAAAAGAATCATGTCCTGAAATAGAAGAAAAAAAATAGTGAGGTTTGGGGAGAAAAAAGTTGGTGAAGATTTATTAATTGGTAAAAAAATAATTTCCTTACATTTTTATAAAAAAAGATATATTTACTTTAGGTATGATTTTAAAAATGGAAGTTAATTAATTTTATGAGATTTTCAAAAAGAAATAATTTATTTTTTAATATTTTATTTTGGCAAGATTAAAAAAGGAAATAATTTATTTAATTTAAAAGAATACACGTTACTCGTGAAGATGCAAATTATACGTAAGCTATTATGACATACACCACCAATAGAGATGGAAAAGCCGTATAATCTTATGACTCATTATGCGATATTCAACATATTGGTTTACTATTTTATGCATATATATATATATATATAT